TGATGACAATCATCATGAAGATGATAAGGGTGATAACTCTTATGATAACTATCATTGTAGCATCTTTTTCATTGCCAAAGCTGCGGATGACTGTCATGATAACTATCATCGCAGCATCCTCTGCAGTACCAAGGGTGGTTAACGGGGCATTTGAAATGTAAAGAAGAAGGAGATGATGCTGATAATCATGATGATGGTGAGGACTATGATGACAATCATCATAAAGATGATAAGGGTGATGACTCTTATGATAACTAACAACATAGCATCCTCTGCAGTACCAAAGCTGCGGATGACTGTCATGATAACTATCATCGTAGCATCCTCTGCATTACCAAGGGTGCCTAACGCCACATTTGAAGTGTATAAGAGAAAGAGATGATATGATGATGACCATCATGATGACGATGATGAAGGCGATGATTATGATGACAATCATCATGAAAATGATAAGGATGATGACTCTAATGATAACTATCACCGTAGCATCCTCTGCAGTACCAAAGCTGCGGATGACTGTCGTGATAACTATCATCGTAGCATCCTCTGCATTACCAAGGGTGCCCATCGCCACATTTGGAATGGAATATATAGAAGAAAAAGATGATGAGGACAATCATGATGACGATGATAAGGATGATGTCTATGATGACAATCATCATGAAGATGATAAGGATGATGACTCTTATGATAACTGTTATCGTAGCATCCTCTGCATTACCAGAGCTGCGGATGACGGTTATGCAACTATCATCGTAGCATCCTCTGCATTACCAAGGGTGCCTAACGCCACAACTGAAATATATAGAAGAAAGAGATGATGAGGGCAATCATGATGACTACGATGACAATCATCATGAAGATGATAAGGATGATGACTGTTATGATAACTATCATCGTAGCATCCTCTGCAGTGCCAGAGCTGCGGACGACGGTTATGATAACTATCATCGTAGCATCCTTTGCGTTACCAAGAGTGCCTAACGCCACATTTGAAATGTATAGAAGAAAGAGATGATGAGGACAATCATGATGACGATGATGACAGTGATGACTATGATGACAATCATCATGAAGATGATAAGGATGATAACTCTTATGATAACTATCATCGTAGCATCCTCTGCATTACCAGAGCTGCAGATGACTGTCATGATAACTATCGTCGCAGCATCCTCTGCATTACTAAGGGTGCCTAACGCCACATTTGAAGTGTATAGAAGAAAGAGATGATGCTGATAATCATGATGACGATGATGACGGTGATGACTATGATGACAATCACCATGAAAATGATAAGGGTGAGAACTCCCAGGACACCTATCATCGTAGCATCCTCTGCCGTCATGACAACTATCATCGCAGCATACTCTGCATTACCAAAGCTGCCGATGGCTGTAATGATAACTATCATCGTAGCATCCCCTGCATTACCAATGCTGCAGAAGCAGAGATCATGATGATCATACAGATAACGATGATAAGGATGACGACTGTCACAATAAGTAGCATCACAGCATCCTCTGCATTACCAATGGTGCCTAACGCCACATTTGAAATGTGTAGAAGAAACAGATGATGATAACAATCACGATGACGATGATGAAGGCGATGACTGTGATGACAATCCTCATGAAGATGATAAGGATGATAACTCTCATGACAACCATCATCGTAGCATCCTCTGCCGTCATGATAACTATCACCGAAGCATCCTCTGCATTAGCAAAGCCGCCGATGACTGTCATGATAACTATCCTCGTAGCATCCTCCGCATTACCAAAGAGCTGCCGATGATTGGCATGATAGCTATCATTGTAGCGACGTCTGCATTGCTAATGCTGCAGAATCAGAGATCTTGATGATCAAACGGATAATGATGAGAAGCCTGACGACTGTCATTATACGTATCATCACAACATACTCTGCACTACCAAAGCTGCCGATGACTGTCATGATAACTATCATCGTAGCATCCTCTGCATTTTTTAGGGCGCCTAACGCCACAATTGAAATGTATACAAGAAGAAATGACATGATGATGACAATCATGATGACGATGATGAAGGCGATGACTATGATGACAATCACCATGAAGATGATAAGGATGATAAGTCTTATGATAACTATCATCGTAGCATCCTCTGCAGTACCAAAGCTGCGGATGACTGTCATGATAACTATCCTCGTAGCATCCTCTGCGTTACCAAGGGTGCCGAACGCCACATTTGGAATGTATAGAAGAAAGAGATGATGAGGACAATCATGATGACGATGATAAGGATGATGACCATGATTACAATCATCATGAAGATGATAAGGATGATGACTCTTATGATAACTATCATCGTAGCATCCTCTGCATTACCAGAGCTGCGGATGACGGTTATGATAACTATCATCGTAGCATCCTCTGCATTACCAAGAGTGCCTAACGCCACATTTGAAATGTATAGAAGAAAGAGATGATGACGGTGATGACTATGATGACAAGCATCATGAAGATGATAAGGAAGATGACTCTTATGAGAACTATCATCGTAACATCCTTTGCATTACCAAAGCTGCGGATGATTGTCATGATAACTATCATCGCAGCATCCTCTGCATTACTAAGGGTGCCTAACGCCACATTTGAAGTGTATAGAAGAAAGAGATGATGCTGATAATCATGATGACGATGATGACGGTGATGACTATGATGACAATCACCATGAAAATGATAAGGAGGATAACTCCCGGGACACCTATCATCGTAGCATCCTCTGCCGTCATGACAACTATCATCGCAGCATACTCTGCATTACCAAAGCTGCCGATGGCTGTCATGATAACTATCACCGTAGCATCTCCTGCATTACCAATGCTGCAGAAGCAGAGATCATGGCGATCATACAGATAACGATGATAAGGATGACGACTGTCACAATAAGTATCATCACAGCATCCTCTGCATTACCAATGGTGCCTAACGCCACATTTGAAATGTATAGAAGAAACAGATGATGATAACAATCACGATGACAATGATGAAGGCGATTATTGTGATGACAATCCTCATGAAGATGATAAGGATGATAACTCTCATGACAACCATCATCGTAGCATCCTCTGCCGTCATGATAACTATCATCGAAGCATCCTCTGCATTACCAAAGCCGCCGACGACTGTCATGATAACTATCCTCGTAGCATCCTCCGCATTACCAAAGAGCTGCCGATGATTGGCATGATAGCTATCATTGTAGCGACGTCTGCATTGCTAATGCTGCAGAATCAGAGATCTTGATGCTCAAACGGATAATGATGAGAAGGCTGACGACTGTCATGATAAGCATCATCACAACATCCTCTGCACTACCAAAGCTGCCGATAACTGTCATGATAACTATCATCGTAGCACAAGATGGCAGTCGGCAAAACGAAGCGATGTCGTTCAAGCCAAGTCTAAAGGGATACTTCAAATGTATATACAAAATGTTTGAATCAGTAGTCTGGGTAGAACGATGCCAAGCCGGGTCTAACGGGACAATAGAAATGTACATAGAAAACATATAAAAAAGATGAAGGTGGAGGATAAGCATCATTATGTATCTCTAGCATCCCTAGCAGCAATGAAGCTAACCATCACTACGCATCGCTTGCATGTCAAGCCGGGTCTAACGGTACACTTGAACAGTATGTAGAAATATAGAAAAGACGTGAGAAAACGAATCATGATGACGATTATGAACGTGGACGACTATATAGACGAGATATACAAAAGACTTGAGAAAAAACGAGTCATGACGAGGATCCTGAGCATTGATTATCAGCATCACTACACGGCCGGAGCACTCGCAGCATTCCTGCAGCGATAGCATCTCTGGCAAGGAGAGTGCCGATTCTTGCCATCGCCCTTCCCGTGCGCCTCCCCCTTTAGGCGAAGGGGTCGGCGGATCCTAGGACAGATCCTTGGTCCCTGCGAATGGCAGTTGTTCCAGTGGGAATTCTAAGGCTAGCACTACTTTGGCCAACCGTGAACGCTGGCGGTTGCGCACAACGTCGCCGAAGAAGCGGTGCATGCCGCAAACAGTGTTTCGCGGCTGGGTCCGCATGCCACTTCATGCTCGCGCGCGCGCGCGCGAGCTTCGCTACGTCTCCCCTTTTGGCTTTCCAACATAACTTTAAGGAGTTAAAACTCGGAAAGCACTTGGCAAACCAACTCGGAGCAAACTGGGCGATTGGGAAAAAACACAGCTGGCCGGACTCGGGAGAGCTCGGAAAAGCTGGTCCCAGGTTCGGAAGTTTCCGCTGACCCTTTCCCCGTTGTCCTCCCTTGGCTTTTTGTGGGTGTTCCTTTGGTTTTCCCTGGTTTCTGTTGGCTTCCATTGGTGTTCCCTTGGAAACCTCAAGGTGTTTCCCTTCATTTCCCGTGCGATGTCTTTGATCGTCCCCTGGGCGAAATCCTGGCCTTGGCTTTGCCCTTGGTTTCCCATTGGTTCAGGTCGCGAGTGTATTCACTGCGCGATTTTGGTAAAAAGGAGGCCTGGAGAGCTTGTCTCTGCCAGCCCCAGCTTCTACGTAGCGCCCGCTTTCTGGAGGGTGCACAGACCTCATCCGCCCTGGCAAGCCAGGAGGCTACAAAGACACTGCAAATCGAGGAAGCTGGAATCCTTCGTGAGGCTGAAGGCTCGGCAAGAGGCCGCAAACTTCTGGAACAGCAACGACGGAGGAAAGCTCCAAAGAATTGACTGGCGCAACTTGTGGCTCTGCGCGGAATTCAGCAGTCTACTGCAAGGTCGTCAGCCCCCAGACGCCACACCCACTCGTGGCGATAGAGTGCGAAGATTGAAAGCTCAAACTGGGAAGTCGCAAGAACCGGTTTTTTGATCTCGGGGAGGCGAGACCAGAAGACGATGGTCTCGTGCCGGGGCCGGCGACAGAGGAGACTCGAGACGCGAGGCGCCTTCCTGGGGGAAGCGCGTGGTATGTTTTTTGTTTTCTTTTCCCGCTCTGAG